TGTTTCCTTCTGTGAGTCTGGTGCTTTGGCAGGTGCCAGGCAGAGACTACCCAAGTGACCAGCTCCCAGTAAACACCCTGGGCACCGAGTCTCCTAACAAGCTTCCTTGGTGGGCATTCCTCACGTGCTGGCACAACTAACGCCTTGCTGAGGGAAATAAGCTCCACCGGTGTGACTACTGGGCAAGGTTTCTTAGAAGCTTGCGCCTCATTTCCCTGGACTTCGCTTCATGTGCGTTTTTCCTTTTCTGAGTTTGCTCTGTATCATTTCACTGTAAGAAATCATAGCTGTGGGTAGAACTATATGCTGAGTTCTGAGAGTCCTCCAAACAAATTGTCACACCTGGGGCTGGCCTTGGGGACACCTGACACATCCAAAGCAGATTAATATCCTACAGGGCAATAACATACAACCTAGATGTTACCTTTTATACTGAACAAAAATCACTTACAAACCAAAAATACACAAACTGTCTTCGAGCGGGTTGTGGAAGGATGGCAGGGTGGTTCAAGGGCGGACGCCATCCAGACACTGACAGGCACGATTAGAAAGATGAAGCAGAAAGGGCCCCTGTCCGTGAGAGTTTTCTAGGGGTAAACATAATTATAATAAGGTGTGATAAATATGATTAGCGACTTACAGTACATCTGTAGAGGCAGTACATACAGTGGTTAAAGACGAAGACCCTAGAGTTTGGGTTTCAGTCCTGGCTCACCATTTACTAGCCCTGTGACAGCCATTTACTTAACCTCCTTGAGGCTTCTTCATCTGTAAAAGGCCATAATATAAATCTATTTCATAAAGCGTAAGGACTAAGCACAACACATTTAGCACAATGACACATGGGAGTCACTACGTTTTCACTTGTGTTTTTTAATATGCACAAGCACAGTCCACTGAGAAACTGAAAGACACAGTTCATGGAGGTTTAGGAAGGAAAGTGGACACAGGCAAGTGTGCAGCAGGGCTTCTAAAGCTGAACTGGATTAGACCTTCTTAACTTCAAGACCCCAAATTGGAGTATTAACTGTATGATATCCTTTCAAATGCCCAACAGCTAGGAAAAGGGAGGGGGAGGATCTTTCATTGTCTAAAGATAAGAAAAGCTGTCTTAAATTTTAATTTTGCTTTGCAGAGGTTAACATCACCAATTCCAAATGAGTTTGAAGCAGTGAGATTTAGTGTATTCTAGGACATTGTTAATTACTTTACTGTTCCTTTCTATTTTCTCCCAAAGCTCTTTTTTGTCCTAAAACCACTCCATGCCATAGATTCAGTGACATGGAAAATGCTTGAACAGCCAGCAGCCCAGAGTGCCTCTGGAACTCCGGCATTGACTTAAAAATGACATGAACCCTCTAAACAGTCTCAGCACATGCTGCGGAAGGTGATGAAGCCAATGCCCACGAAGGGGAAGACTAGTGAGGCCACGGAATACATTTGCTTTGGCAGCATCTGTTGAGTTTGGAGGCATTTCCAGACTCAAATCTACACAGTATGCTCTTCTCTGAGCAGCCAATAGAAAAGTCTGTGAGGAGGAGCGGAGGAAAAGAGCTTCAGGCAAGGCTGAGTTTTATAAAGCACAGAGATAGAGAGCAAGGAGAACATTGCTTGCAAGATAGCCGTTCTGGAGGCAGTGCCCAAAGGGGATGTGTCGAATTTTCATTATATTTGAAACTGTCAAAAAAAAAAAAACCCAAAACTAATTTCCTAAAGAAAGAAGGGCAGGATTTAGATAATAGCTTTTTAAGATCCCCTTTAAATACAGATCTAAGGTAACTTTTTAGTTTAGAAGCATCATCATGTAGTAGGTATGATTTGATTTGATGAAAAGATGTTATGTGTTGGTGCATTTAGAGAATATACCTAGAAAAATGCAGGAAATTGTTTTTAACCAAATGTGTCTTTTGAGGAAATTACCCTTCCCAGATGGACTCTTTTCTTGGGCTTTCAGATTTTTACTGACAGATAAACTTTTACTAGAAAAGAAGCTCAAATCTTAGCTTTTCAGTAAAGCCTTTCCTGACTCATCCTCATCTCTCTGTCCAAGAATTTTGTCGCTAGGTCCTCTGTGCTCTCCCATGAACAGCACTCTGCTCACACCCTTTAGATAGAACTTACTGCTTTGAAACTGTGTTTAGATGCCAACCTCCCTCTCTCAAAGGACCACTGAGATCAGGAGCTTTGTAATGACATTGTTTATCCCCAGGCATCCCTGACATGCTCCCTCATCTCCTTTCCCACCTTGCAATGTTCATATTCCCTCCACTCCAGCCTCGCCACGACTCTCACGCTGCTTCCTCACCTTGAGCAACTTCACCAATTCTCCTGGTTTTAATTGCTACCTGCATGCAGATGATTCAAGTTACGTTCCTGTATTCCAGACTTTTCTCTTGAGCTCCAGATGCATAAAACCAACTGCCTAATGACTGAGATTGACAGTGGCAGCCCTCCCAAATGCAATAAGCCCTATTATCTTTCTGCCTTGATCTCCCCTCCACCTATCAGTCCCCTTACAATAAATGTATAACCCCTGTTATACAAGTCCAGGCTGTGAGTCATTCTAACCACCTAACCATCTCCTTTCCCTTCGCCCAAATCAGATCTGATTGTTCTCTTTCCCTGTGAAAACACTCAAACTCTTTTGCACAATACATTAAGTCCAGTGGCAAGGCTAGTAAATATTTAACAACTATCTTCCCAGGGGGAAAAAAAGGCCAGATTTATAACGTTTGCCAAAATCTATGGCATAAACATTCCCATCATAGCTGATTTCAAGCTGCCACAGTGACGCCACTGAACATAAGGAAGCTGGAAATAAACAACCAGTAGCCCATTATATAGCATATACACAATATAGAGACAATAAACATAAATATGTTTAAAAACATGCGAGATAGTCAAATACAGCAAAATAAATTAGGCAGCGACTTTTTTGTGATATAATTTATTCAAATATAAATTTACATCATTTAATTGCTTATGGTGGCTGAGTTTAACAACTGGCTTTCAAAATTCCTGAAAATTTAACCATGGACACTTGCAAGCATACTATTTGAAGATCTGTAGCCTGCCTGACATTCCAGCTATAGTTTTCCTTCTGTGTGGCTCTTCCTTTTAACCCTTCCTTTGTTGACACTAGACTATTTTCACCTTTTTTTAAAAAATTTAAGTATAGTTGATTTACAAAGTTGTATTAGTCTCTGGTGTACAGCATAGTGATTCATTTACTGTTTACAAGTTTAATTTGCTACTAGACCATGCTGTCATGTCTCATTCATTCTTTTTTTTAATCTCAGATACATAGACCCTTTAAAAAATTGTTGAAAAAATTAACTATAATATTAAAATGCATTCAGGATACGGAAAATTGAGCCAATTTCCACTGTCAGTCCCCAGGGGATCAAGCGGGTTTTTTTCTCTAAAGACTTCCTGTGGATTTTTGGACACTTCTAACCTATGCCTTGCATGGACACCCCTCTTTGCCACTGTATCCTCTCCAGAGCCGTGATTTTGATCATTCACTTACAGCACCCCACATATTTTGTTACAATGGGAAAAAACCTCTGGGTACAAAAATCTGTATAACAGTCTGGAAAAAAAAGGGGGGGGGAGGCAAAGGTACATCTTTTAGAATTGTTTTTGGCTTGAGATAACAAACTGACATCTCCCTCAGAGCAATTCCAAGCCAAGGAGGAAGTAACATGCTTTCTGTTTGGGTCTCTGTTTTCTTAGTCCCAGGTTAGAAGTGACCTTCTTGCTGCCACCCAAGACTCAGCTGAGTGACTTCTGAAATTCTGCTGACAATTTCCCTGCTCTAAACTCTTCCCTTCAGCTCCAAGCCTCCAGAGCCAGGTCTGCTGTCTTCAGAGCTTCCTCACGATTCCACGCAGCATCCAGGCCCGCCCTTCGCCAGCCTTTCTCATGCCTTTTCCTAAACCTTCTGCTCTTCTCAAATCTCTGATTCTCTCACGAGCATTTGTTTTTTACAGCATTCTGTCTCTTGTGCCTTCAGCTACTGACCGCTAAGTCTTTTCTCAGGCAAACCACCCACATATCTACTGAGTAATTAAATTTTCTCGAGTCCAGGCCCCAGCCGGCAGGAGATTTTTCTCAATACATGTATTATTTGAGGTAATTTCCTGCATAGCTTCTCATCAATTTCCCACGGGGAGAAAAATCACTATCCCATGTCCTAGAATTGTTTGCGCTAATGTTCCTGAATCAATTGATCATTCTTTTCTCAAGGAAAAAAATCATTTTATTTCTCTCCAGTATAATACTTGGCAGAGTTAAGTGCTCAAAAAAAAAAAAAAGAGAAAATGTTGAATGGACCAAAGAACAAAATGTGTGGTATTTTTCTCATGAAAATTACCCAGAGACTTAGACAACACCAACAAGACTCAGTCTTTACCCCTAAGCGTGTTACAGTCTGGGAAGACAAACTGCCAAGCCCTCCAGCAGTTATAAAAATTTCAGGCCAACTTAGGTCTCATGATTTCTCCTGAGGTCTTATTTGTTCACACCAAACACTCAGTTCCCACGGATAGTGTGTCAATTGTGCCTTCCTGGTCCTTAACTAAGATAAACAGATGCAACCGTTATGCTCTAACCAGACCTTTCGCTTCAAGAGTTCTTAGTGCATTGAGCTCCATGAATTTATAAAATGTGCTCTCAGTGTCTTTTCGATTAAAAAATTGTGTTAAAACGCTACATTCCTTTACTAAGTCAAACCGAGGCACAACAGTTTCCCACCAGGATGGAAGTTTCTGGATCAAATCTGGTTGGCAGCTGAACAAGTTCATGGTTGCAGCTCTCAGCTCGGCCCCTCCCGCCCCGCCAGACAACTGTTCCCTCAAGGCAGGGGGAAAGAGGTTTGGCAAGTCCTGACAGATGGACAGCTGACACAATGGACCCTCCCCCAAACCCCATCCCCTGTGCAGCTGTGCTCTGGCCTGGTGTCCAATCGGCCGTCCCCCAGAGAAGGGGAAGGAATTGTGTGTCTGAGAAAGCAGCTCTCAGAGGGAGGGAGGCGGGCGGCCTTGACTGACATACCAGAGGGCTGGCTTTTTGGACGGCTCTTAGCAACGGCCCTGGTTTGACTCTCCTCAGCCATGAGAAAATCGAATCAGTGTACCATTCTTCCAGGCGCGATGCAGCATCAGCAGCTCAACGTCCAGGGGGCCTTCCTCTCTGCGTGTTAATTACCAGCTCTTTCTCATCTCAGGGTTCCTGCCTTTGCAAAGTGCTCCGGAGAAGAGGCAAGAAAGACCACCACCCCGCCCCCTCGCTGCCTGGGGCTTCAGGCTTGATCGTGAGTCCTGGTACATCTGATAGGCGGGACTGAGAGGGGGGGTCCAGCCCCCCTGGTCCGGCAGGGGCTTTATTCTAAGAGTCACTGGTGCGTGGCTGCGCTTTTCTTTCCTGTTTGTAGGTGAAACCCCAGTGGCTTCATTGGCTCCTCGATTTAAACCACGCCCGGCTTTCTGCCCGCTTTGCTGCTGCCGGGCCAGGCCGACCAGCCACATCCCAGCCCCGTTTGCGGGGAGCCGGGCTGCTGCTGCTATTGTGTGGATGCCGCGCGTGTCCTCTCTTCTCTTGCAGAGATGGCTAACAGGGGTCCCAGCTACGGCTTAAGCCGAGAGGTGCAGGAGAAGATCGAGCAGAAGTATGACGCGGACCTGGAGAACAAGCTGGTGGACTGGATCATCCTGCAGTGCGCCGAGGACATAGAGCACCCGCCCCCCGGCAGGGCCCATTTTCAGAAATGGTTGATGGACGGGACGGTAAGGCTGGCAGCGATCTTGGTTGCTGGGGCGGTGGGCAGGGAAAACACTCCAGGGTCTTCTTTAACGTGAGGCTGCGGGAGCAGCTGCGTCTGCCAAGCTCTGTCTCACGGGGGGAGGACGGGGATGCCTTTATTTCTTCGCGGTTGGAAGATCTGTGCTCCCTGCACAATTCCCTCGCCAGATTAGAGGATTCTCCACCCATCCCAGATATCGCAGCTTCCTTCTGAGTTGTTGGCCAGTTTAAAGCCCTTTTGCTCTTTCCAATGAGAATAGAGATAAGCATTTCTCTGAGATCTCTCTAGTCTTCTTGGTGTATCAGCTCCTCTGGGGCCATCCCTTCCCCCAGGGGAATAGGTTGGTTACATAGTAAAACAAAGGAAGGGGTGGAGGGGGAGGACTAACCACCTTCCATCCTACCTGGAGCCATACTCCTTGGGAATGCTCAATGCCTGTCTGTTGAATGGATTTGTTCTCATGAAACTGAAGGGAATCCTTATTTGATAACTGCTTTTCTATGGAGATCCTCCTGTGTGTTTGGGGGGTTGGGTACCACAGGCTCTACTGCTTCCAACAAGCCTGTCTTTCCTCGCAGGCTGTGCTTGCTGTTACATAATGCTAGCCCACGCGTCTGTTGGATTGTGCCCAGCACTTGGGTTATAGGTTTCTGGGAGGAGGGTACCCCGTTCGGTTCTTTTACATATCACTAGCCCTTACCGGATGAGTTATTGAAGCCTGATTCTGACCTGCCTTTTGATAGAAGAAATAATATTAGACTCTATCCTTCAGCCTCTCCTGGGAACCCCTAACTCATCCCTCCATTGAAAGTCTGAAATCATGGCCTCATCACTGCACATCATTCCCTCTCTGTAAACATTCTTTCCCTCACCCAGAAAAAGGAAGGGAGGAGCGAGGGAGGAAGAGGATTCCCAGGCTACTGAATGCACTGCAGTCAGGAGAAGCCCTGAAAGTGGGGTCGCCTGGGTCTTTAGGGCTGGGTATGGTAGCCTGGCCCCCCAGCCCAGAGCCCATGCCTTCCTGGGGTGCAAGATTTGCCCATGCCCTAACCTGTGGGCTGTGCCCCGTGGGGGCTAAGACTCATTTTGCATTAGGGACAAGCACACACAAAGAGAAATGCTGATTCTGTCTCCCCCTTTCCCTCCTCAGGTCTTGTGCAAGCTGATAAACAGTTTATACCCACCAGGACAAGAGCCCATTCCCAAGATCTCAGAGTCAAAGATGGCTTTTAAGCAGATGGAGCAAATCTCCCAGTTCCTAAAAGCTGCGGAGATCTATGGCGTCAGGACCACTGACATTTTTCAGACGGTGGATCTATGGGAAGGTAAACAGCCCTTATGCCTCGTGCCCCCAGGATCATCCTCCCCTCCCCCACCCGGTTGCTTTTCTCTTTGTGAAGCCTGCTCACAGTGTTCTTCCCTGTGTTTCTGTGTGTGTGCGTGCACACATGATTGTGTGTGTGAGATGGTTATCAGCTGTCACCCAGGGGCACTGTCAGCCTCCCCTTTGTGATGTTCTATTAAAAGTGTTCCTTCTCTAAGGAACACACACCCCACACAGCAGGGACCTCAGCAAACTAACATGTAAACAGAAGCCTCCGTGGAGAGGAAGCTAATATGGTTACGTGAATGCCTCTCATTTCTCTTACCCCTCCCATCACGTACTCTTAGCCCACAAATGAAAGCTGCCGGAGGAGAAGGGGGCGGCGAGTGTGCTTCTGACTCACCCGCAGCCAGGCTTATAGACAAAGCTGCCTACTGCAATTTTGTCATTCAATCCAAGAAATAAATAACCCCCCACCATTTTATTAAATGGTTATCTGGCAGCTTGGTGACTATAACTTCCAGATGTGTAATTTCTCAGAGAGGGTGACAAATGACTTTTTCCTTTCATATTTGTGAATTGACATAAGAAATCTAACAAGGCATAAAAAAGAAATCAAGTTTCTGGACGTATTTAATGGTCCAGCGTTATTGGGGGAAATGATGTGAATGGAGATATCGCCAGAGAATTTGGGACCTATGGTCACAGACCTTAGTGTCCCCCTGAGCCCAGATGTGCACGCCCACCGGTGTGACTGTTCTACCCACATCAGGCCCACCCGGAGGCATGGACCCATCTGTGCTCTCATCCTTATTGTCACTGGCTGTCCTCAGTCACTGGCCCAACCAATAGGATACCCAAGGCAGTGACCCAAATGGCTCTGCTGACAGTGAGAATGGGCTGATTTCCCTGTGATCAAGAGACAATGGTATTTTAAGGGGCATTCAGACGATTTCTAACAGAGAATCATCCAACTAAACAAACTTAATTCCTTTATTCTCACCCCCTCCTCTGTGTCATACAGAGAGCTGGCAGTTCCTGTTTCCTTCACAAATGAGTAGTTAAAATCGTAAGACGCCGATCAGTTTATCAATAATGTTTTTCCATTATTTAGAAACTCATATATTCAGACCTTCAGGCCAGGCCGTTGGCCTACATGAACACTTGCCT